ATGAGGCTATTCCTGGGGGAAGTCATGAAGCATAGGGCTTGTGACCCTAATGGGGTGTGACACTGTCCCCAGAGCAGTGCACGAATCACTATCTCAGAAGGGTCCTGCCCCGAGCGCATCACCACGATCACTGGCTCCACTGACGCTGTCTTCCGTGCTGTCTCCATGATCGCCTTCAAGCTGGAGGAGGTAGACAGCCCTCCTAAATCCCTGCCAGGTGCCCCCAAACCTGGGAGATCCTGGGGGTCTGACACTGCATCCTACATCCCTCACAGGACCTGGGAGCAGGGGGCGATGGGGTGTCAGCAGGCAGAGCACCAGTGACCCTGCGCCTTGTCATCCCCGCCAGCCAATGCGGCTCCCTCATCGGCAAGGCAGGAGCTAAGATCCGGGAGATCCGGGAGGTGAGGCTGACGGTTGCCTGGATGTGGGATCTCCTTTTCCCCCTGGAAGTACAGAGGCCTGGGTGTGAGGGCTGCCACAGTCCTGCAGGGGCTGAGGGAGGTGGTGCAGGAGAGGGTCCATCACCCTTGCAGGTCCTGCAATGGTCTCTGGGGGCTCAGGAGGGGAACAGGGGAGGTGTGAGCTGCTGAGCCCTGGCAGGGGAATGCCAGCATCTCTTTGCTTCCTGCAGAGCACAGGGGCACAGGTGCAGGTGGCTGGTGACTTGCTGCCCAACTCTACTGAACGAGCTGTAACCGTCTCAGGGGTGCCAGACACCATCATCCAGTGCGTGAGGCAGATCTGCGCTGTCATCCTGGAGGTACCTGCCAAGCCCCATGCCCAGCCCGGGGGGCATCTGCTACCCAGCTCCCCCTCCCCAGGGCTTCCCATGCCCATCTGGACTCAAATACCAGGGTCCCCCTGTGTGGAAACCTATTGGAGCACCCTGCCTTCGTAGTGCTGGGGGCTGTGCCCAGCTTGCTGGGGCCATAAGGGGGCAGAGGGTCCTTGGGGCTACAGGGGCATTCAGCTTCATCTCTCATCTCCTCCACCTCCTTCCTTCTGTCTCCAGTCGCCTCCGAAGGGGGCCACCATACCCTACCACCCTGGTCTCTCCCTGGGCACCATCCTGCTCTCTGCCAATCAGGTAAGAGGCCACAGCATCTCTGAGAGCATGAGGTGGCCAGGAGGACAGCCTCTGACAGCAAGGGGCAACTCTGGTGGGCTCAGGGTAGTCTCTGCCCCAGAGGGGAGCAACCTGAGACAATGGTCCCCACCTGGCTCCCCACTGATGCCCCTTTTTTCTCTCTCAGGGCTTCTCCATGCAGGGCCAGTACAGTGGGGTCTCTCCTGCAGAGGTGGGTCTGTCCCTGCAGCAATGGGGGCTGTGCCCATACGGATGGGTGCTGCTGGGAATGCCTGACTTGGGAGGCACTGGGGCACTGGGGCACAGCTGACCTCTGCCATCACCCCTAACACCACCTTCCTCCTCTTCGCACTGTTCGGGCAGGTGACAAAACTGCAGCAGCTGTCAGGGCATGCGCTTCCCTTCGCTCCCCTGGGCCATGCACCCACCATGATGCCAGGTGAGCATCTCCCATGCTCCCCCAAGGCTGGGTGTGCCCCTCCTGATCCACCCTGACATCTGGCCCTGATGAAGAGATTTCCCTCCTCGGCACCCTTTCCAGTCCCAGCCTCTCCAGCATGTCTACCTGCCCCTCCAGCACAACCTTGTCATTGTTTTCCTGGGGTCACTGCACCCACCAGTGCTCCCCAGTCCTGCAGTGGGAGAGCACTGGCACCAAATTATGGCTTGTGTCTATGTCCTGTCCTCCCTTCCTCTCCACAGCAATCCTTGAGGTTTGTCACCAGGGCTGCTCACCATCCCAGTATGGGGCTGACATAGGGGCACAGAGCTACTGGAGACCTGCCCCTTCATTGCTGACATCCTTGTCTCTCTCTCCAGGCCTGGATGCCAGCTCCCAGAGCAGCTCCCAAGAGTTCCTGGTGCCCAATGATGTATGTATTGGTCTGGGAATGACAAGGGGGATCACATCTTGTCCCCACCCATGTGAACCATCCCAGAGGCACTTTGCAGAGGCCAGCACCCACTGACCCACACAGTGGAGGCTCTGCCAGAGCTTAGGAGCAGGAGGGGGTAGCTGGGACAGAAGAGGAAACTGAAACACAGGACAGGAGGGAAGAGTTTAGGCAATGCCAAGGAAAGGCCTTGGCATGTGGCACAATGCCAGCAAGAAGGTCTTGAATGAGACCAAAAAGCAAGGTTTGCCCAAGGAAAGCATTGCCCTGCCCTCCCAATGCCTTCCACAGTTTCACCTCTGAGGTGTAGGGGATGTCCAGGTGAGCCCCTTGGAGCTCCCTGCTTGGCAAGACTGCTCTGGCTGCTCCTGGCTCACCCCCTCCCTGCCCCTTCAGCTCATCGGCTGCATCATCGGCCGGCACGGCAGCAAGATCAGCGAGATCAGGCAGATGTCAGGTGCCCACATCAAGATTGGCAACCAGACTGAGGGCTCCAGCGAGCGTCATGTGACCATCACAGGGACCCCTGTCAGCATCACCCTGGCTCAGTACCTCATCACAGCCTGGTAGGTGTCAGCCTGGGAGGGGACTCACACTGGGTGCTAGTGAGGGTTGGCTCTTCTCCAGCACCTCAAGGCAGCTTTTGGAGGATACCTCCACCACAGCATCCTCGGGGAGGATGAGCTGGGTGCTGCTACCTGAGGTGGTAGGTGCAGGACCTGAGACCCACCAGATTTGAGGCCCAGCTTTTCAATCCTGCTCAGTGCGATACCCAGAGTGTGCCATGGACACGAGCCAGAAGGGATGGGGCACACAGTTCCTGCACCCTAAGATTGTGGTGGGAGAGCTACTCTGTCACCATGGTACTAACCATCATCCTTCTCTCTTGCTTCCCCAGCTTAGAGACTGCTAAATCTACCTCCCAGGTGCCACCAGGCCCTGGCTCCATGGACCTTGGCATGGGCTTTTCCCAGCCCCTCGCTCCAGGCTCTGGTGCAGCACTTCCCACCGTCGCCCCAGCCCCCCCGGCCCTGCTGGGCACCCCCTACGCCATCTCCCTCTCCAACTTCATTGGCCTGAAGCCAGTGTCCTTCCTGGCGCTGTCCCCATCCTCTGTGGCAGGTCCCAATGGTGGCACCACCACCTACACGACCAAGATCTCGGCGGCCAACGGCACCAAGAAAGCTGACCGGCAGAAGTTCTCACCCTACTGAACCCCACTGGTGGGTGGGCCAGGGGGTCCGGGGTGCTACTCAGTATCAGGGACACCTTCCTGCCCCCCACCCTGACCTCAGCCTCTGCCAGGTGCCCCATGCCCCCCACCCCAGGGAAGGGAAGGGTCTTTCTGGTGATGATGCCTGCTGGAAGAAGGGGCTATTTTGTTGCCTGCTGCCCATCCCAGCAGCACTGCACCCCCCTCCCTGATTTTCTGCACAGAGACCATGTGCCCTGGTATTGGGTGGGGGGCCTGTCCCTGCCAGCCTAGGGTCCCTTCTCCCAGTACCCTGTGCTGCAGGACCCCTGCTTCCTGCTCCTCACCCTGCCTCCTCTGCCATCCTGCTCATGCCCACACTCCATCTGGCACCCAAAAGCCAGGCCCCACTGGATGAGGACTGCCTGGCCTCTCCAGGCCCCTTCCACTGGCTCTGGTGGGGGGCTCTCCCTGGGCCACCCTGGGGCAATCGCCTCCCAGCAACCCCATCCAACAGCCAGTCCCCGCTGGCTTGGAAATGCTGTATATATATCAGTCTATATTTTTTCCTCCTTTGTAACTTATCAATGGTTTAATAAAAAGATAAAATTTACAAGAAAATAACAATAATAATAATATTCTCCACTCTGGGTGGAGACTTCCCCCAGAGTAGGGGTGGCCCCAGCTCCTGGGTACTTGGGTGGTGGCTGGAAGAGCATCCCTGTGTCCAGGGTGGGGGATGCTGGCCTTCAGCCCCATCTCTCTGGGTGTCTTCCTGGAGTCCCTCGCTGCCATGGGGCAGTTAGAGAGGCCATAGGGCAGTCTTCCCTCAGGCCTGCAGTTACTACTGGAGTAGGGACAGCTCCAACCCACCATGCCAACACCATCCACGGGACCTCTGTGGGTGGGCTGAGGGTAATGTATCCCTGCAGCATTCCCCAAAAGGTTCCAGTCCCCTTTCTAGTGGGGACCCCATAGGAGTGTCCCCAAGCCCTTCAAAAGCAATGAGACTGAAGAGGAACAACAGCTCCTCATCCCCTCTGGCTGCTGCTGCCCTGTGTCACCCCACACAGCCACCCCCCACCACCCTGTATCACCATGTCCAGCCCAGCATGCCCTTGGCCAGCTGCCCACATCCACTGGCACGTGGCACTGCTGACCGGGGCTTCAAACCGGGCAGCTGCGCCCATAAACAGCCCGACGTGGACCTCCAGATTTCCAGTTCCCCCCCAGGGGGATGATCACTGCCAGCTGAGGGGACAGAGGGCATGGCCAGGCATGGCCACGGGCATTGCATGCTGCCATGCCAGCAGGACAAACAGTGACATACCCAGAGCCAGCCCTGTGGGTGTGTCCCCCTGATCAGTGTCACAGGGAGCAGGAGCTCCTCCACACAAGCACTAGTTTTGGGTTAAACAGCCAGGGATGGAGGTCTCTGTGTCTGCCATCCAGGCTCAGCAGAGGGCTCGGGGTCCTGATGTTACTGGTGTTAGTGGCATTAGCTGGATCATTGCTCCTGGATGGGGTGCAAGGGACATCTGCTCTTCCCTGCTGGCCAGGAGTGCTCTCACTGGGGCAATGGAGATGGAGGTGTCCTGTCCCCTGCCCCTGCACAGGAGCCCTTTGGCCGTCCATGTCTTGAGGAGAGCCTATCCCTGGAACTGGGCTGTGCTGGTGGAGCCAGAGACAATTCCATCCTGCAGAACAGAGATGTGACTTCCCCAGATCTGCTACCTTCTCCCAGCAGAGAAACCATCTTCCACCATAAGCTCAAAAAACAGGCAAAACCTGAACAAGGACTCCTCCAAATCCAAGGGGTTGGGTCCTAGTGGGTCTGATGGGTCCCTGGCAGGTCTCCTGCCCAGAACAGTGGGGCAGAGCCTTCTTCTCAGCTGCTCTCTTCAGGAACTTGACCTGGGGTGGGGAAGCCTGTTGTGGCTTGGTCCAGCCTGTTCCTGGGGCTGGGACTGATGCAGCTGGTGTGCGTCTCCAGTGTCCAAGTTGCTCTCTGGAGGAACTGCAAGAAGTTTTCCTGAACAGAAGTCTCTGAGATGGAAAGACAGAGCTCCTGACCCAGGGGATGGTTAAGACAGCTGCGCCGGAGGCGGGCCAGCTCCTCACGGATTTGGCGGTTCAGCAGCCCATAGAAGAAAGGATTAATGGCAAAGGAGGAGTAGGCAATCCAGGTGACCACCATCTCCCCGTGCCCACCACCCACTGTGCCAACAATGACAGAGGAGTGCAAGTGGAAAGCAAAGAAAGGCAGACAGCAGCACAAGAACTGTCCCACAATGAGGACCAAGGTGAGGATGGCCTTGTTGCTTCCCAGGAGGCGATCTGGGATCAGCCTGGGCAGCATCAGGATCCTGGCAGTGAGGATGGTCACTTGGCTGGCAATGGAGTCACATCGGTGTCTGGGTGCAACTGCCTGTGCCGGCACAGGTGCCTGCTGCAGGGACGCAGTCCGGGCCACACGGTAGATGCTGGAGTAGACAGCGAGGATAATGATGGTGGGCAGAATAAAGCAGGTGATGCTGAAGAGGATCACAAAAACCTTCTTGTGGGCTCCGGGGCTCCAGTAGACTGTGCAGCGGCTGGCGCTGGTGGCACCATTGCCATGAGGCCATGCCACTAGTGCCAAGACAGTGATGAGAACAGACTTGACCCAAATGAAAATCACTCCAGCCACCACCAGCCTGATGGTCATCTTGACCTCATACCTCAAGGGGTGGACAATGTAGTAGTACCGCTCCACGCTGATGATAGAGATTGTGAGAATGGAGGCACTGATGAAGCAGATATTCAGGAATATCACAGCCTTGCACTCAGCAATGCTGTAGATCACCCAGTTGAAACAGGAGGAGCTGGAGATGATCCCCAGAGGCATGAGGAAAATGGCTGAGAGAAGATTGACTGCACAGAGGTGGCAGACAAAGATGAACTTCCTGAAAAGGGGTGTTTTAAGGATGATGACCATCACCACGATGTTGGCCACCAGGGCGGTAAAGGTGAGCAGGATCATGCAGAAGAGGCCCAAGACCTCCTGGGCAGTGGAGTGCTTGGGAAGGGAGAGCAGCTCTAGGCTGTCCGTGGCGTTTGACCCTGTCTGGCTTGCCATCCCCCTCCAGGGCTAAGCCAGCAGCTCTGGTGCCTGGGCAGCAAGGGCTCTTCTTCTTTGTCCCAGAGAGGGTAACCCCAGCACAACCATGGCTGCTGCCTTCTCCTTGTCTGTTGGGATCAGGAGCTGGGTGTGAAGGGAAAGAAACAAAATAAGGAAGAGCCACAGAGCAACGCAGAGACAGCCAGCACACTTCCAGGGTGCTGGAGGAGGGAGTGGTAGACAATGAAGTCATAGCCACTTGGCTGTCCCAGAGCAGGCACCCAGGCTGTCCCCAACCTAGCCAGAGATAGCATTGCTTGGTCCTGTGGCACCCATGCCAGGCTGACACCCCGTCCCCCCTCTCCAATGGCACCAGTATGTCCTGAGAAAAGACAGTACAACTTGCCTGTCCCAACCCTCTTGCTCTGGCCACAGGGGAACCCCAGGTGGGTGAGATTCAGCGCACCTTTGCTCCTGGAGAGATGGGTGATGCTCCTCTCCTCACTGGGGTCCTGCTTGCTGGTGTTGCTCCCGCAGCAGAAGCGGGGCTGCCGGCCCTGTGTGAGGCCACGCTCCCCCTTCCCCGCTCCCGTCACCCGCTCGTCATCCTGTTTGCCTGCAGCCTGCCAGCTGCGGATGGCACCAGCTGTCACTCCCGGCGCTGCCTGCACTGCCTGCACCCGTGGCAGTCCCACGGGGACAGCTGCTGGGTCCTAGCAGCCGGCAGGGGCTTAGGAAGGGGCGATCGGGGTTCCTGAGCCCTGTGCTCCCCAGAATGGTCACCCACTGCACCAGGCCTGGTCCTTCCACGGGAACAGCTCAGGTCCCTGGGGCTCAAGGGACAGAGCCACAGGCAGGTCTGCCGCAAATCGTCTCCACTGGCACATGGATGCTCATGGGGCAACAGGGTAACACAGCTGGGAGTTGCCCTTCCCTGGCAGCCTCAGCACCTGGACATGCGCTCAAGGGGCACATGTGAGCACAGAGAAGGGCCTGGCACAGGTGCCAGGCTGGGGCAGGACAGCAGGCATGGCATGAGGCATGGCACTAGAGGGAGAGCAGGCACTCGCCCTCAGGGTGGATGGATGGATTCCTCTATCCCCAGGCAGGGCAGCAGATCTTGCTCATCCTCTGTAGCTTTGATGCCACGGGGTGCCCATGAGCTGTGTGCCTTGCTAAGGTGACGAGAGCAGCTGGCCTCTCAAAGACACCAGCTTTTATCTGAAGGTTTCAGCCCCTCCAGAGCCACCTGTGCCATCCCTGCAGGGACCCACTGACACCCTTCCCTATAGCACACCCGCCTTGCTGGGCAGGAAAGCGAGAGCACCGCTCAGTGCAAGGCACAGTGCTTTTATTCATGCTCAAAGCAAGCTCAGTCCCCACGCCAGCCTGGCCCTTGCCAAGCCCCAGGTGGGGTGGCCAGAGAGTCCAGATCACTGTGCTCTGGGCTGATAGGTGTCACCACCTGGTGCTGGGCCAGGGCCGTGGTGCTCCCAGGCACCCTCAGAAGCGGATCTGGACAAGGTAGCGGATCCGGCATTGGCTTTCCTGGTAGATGAGGTACTCGCTCTGGCTGAAGGAGGAGTCCTTGTAGGCAGGTATGCAGATGGGCTTGCCCTGGCACACCAGCACCTTTTTGCCATCCATCAGCATCTCCTTATCCTGTGCAGGATCTGGGCCAGAAGACACCACACCACCACATCAGACTGAGATCTGGCCTCTCTTTCCCCCTGCCCTGTGCCCACCACACCCCTCCTGCCCCAGGCTCACCTGGCTCTGTCTGGCCACAGGCCAGGACACTGTCATAGCCAGCAGGTGGCTGACACAGCGTGGGGTCATCGCGGGTGATGCGGTAGGGCTTGCCCAGGGCCACCTCCGTCAGGAACATGATGCCAACCCTCTCAGATGTACAGCCCACTGCCATGGGAGAAAGGGATGGGGGTGATAGCACCATCCCTGGTATTCCCACCTGGTTGTGCCCAGGCCATGCTGGGACACAGGGACCAATTGCCATGGCAGGGAAGGGGCTTGGCAAGCCCACAGCTGCCTGGCAGGGGTATGCAAAGATGGCCAGGTTCACACAGACCCATCACAAGCAGCCCAGCCCATCCCAGGACCCTCACCATAGCTGGCTGATTTGCTGTTCTCGGAGGCGAAGTAGATGCCCTTGCCCACGCGCCCGCCTGAGTGGGGCATGATGCGCAGCCCACTCTTCAGGATGGCCGCCACCACCGCCACGTTGGTGCCATGCCAAAGCAGGCGCCGGTGCTCCAGGACGTCATGGGCCTTGAAACGCTCATCCTGGAGAGATGCAGAGCTAAGGGCTGTCCACACAGGGACACACGGGTGCCCAGGGGTAGAGGAGTACTACCCACCTCCCCAGTCCAGCCCTAGTGCCTGGCTGGAGGGGCAGGAGACTGGGTGCCTGTTTGGCCCTGGCTAGCTGGGCTGAATCCCTTCCTGGGTGGAGAAATCCTGGGGTGCAACTGTGGCATTCCCACTGTGATATGGGGAGAATCACCTTGTCCTCACCTCACCATCTCGGGCCACCTGCCAGATATTGAGGATGTGGAGTTTGTGACCGGTCTGCTCCACGTAGGTTTGGATCAGCTGCCGAGGGGGAGGCAAAAAAGCTGTGTCACTCCAGGCAGCCATTGCAGCAATGCCCAGGGTCCCCCCGGGACAATAGGAGCCTTTGGGGTGCCTGCAGGCCTGACATAAGTGCTTCCCATTATGGGACACTGGAACAAGCAGCACCTGGTATTCCTGGGAAGCCGGGTCCAGCAGGGAGAGCTGGCAGCAGAGCAGGGCATAATCCTGATCCAGCGGATGGACAACTTCTTTCTCCTCCTCCTCCTCCTCCTTCACTTTCTGTGCCTGCAGGCTCTGTGCCACCTCAATGTCAGCCAGCACCTGGCAGGGACAGAGCAGGGACATCCTCACCACCAGTGCTGGGCACTGCGCCGGGGAACCAGGGCAAGCCCAGCCTCCTGCCAGCAGCCCCTGTCCCACGGGGAAGGGAAGCCATGCACTCTGTGCTTTGGCATCTCACCAACAGCATGTCCTTCTTGGCACGCAGCAGGTCAGGGGAGTTGATGGGGGGTGGCCGCGCTCGTCCAAAGTTGTGTGGGATGATGGTGTAGAAGCGTGAGGAGAGCTCCTCCAGGCGAGAGGCCTGGGGGGGCTGCTCCCTCAGCACTGCCTCCAGCTCATCCAGTGCCTCAAAGCCCCTCGCAATCTGCTGCTTGCTCAGCTTCCCCAGAGGCATCTTTTTCACATCTACAGGGGAGGGCAAGGAGAACCCGTCCACCCCACTCGCTCCACAGCTACTTCCCAGAACCTCCAGTATCACCATGGGCAAGTGTGGGCACCCAGCATGGGGTGTCCACAGTCCCATCAGGTGCCAGCATATCAGAGGGGATGCTCTAAAATCCATCAGCACCTCTGCTCTGTTCACCTCCTCACCAGCACCCCGCAGCCCGAGCTCATGTCACCCATCAACCCATCACCTCCTACCGATATTCATGGTCTGCATGGCATCCTGGAACATGTCACTGCTGAAGATGAGGGACACCAGGTCCTGTGTGGCTCTGTCCAAGGTGCAGGGCAGCACCCGCTGCTTGCAGACCTTGCCCCCATCCATGGTATCCACCTGAAGACACCCCACATCAGCTGCGTGCCTGCAAGAGGCTGTGGGAGCACTGCACCAGGGCTGCCCACCTCTGTGAGGAGAGCCTGGTGCTGGGGCAGCAGAGCAATGGGCAGGTGCTGCCTCCACTTTCCACAGCTGATGCCCCGCAGAAGGCCACATTTCTCATTCAGGATGCCCTCCCACTCCATTTTAACCCACTAGCCCCATATCTCTGCCTGCAAGCTGTTTCAGCATGCACCCAGACCCCTCTCAAAACCCATCCCATCCTGCTGACCCTCTTGGATGTCCTCGTGTTCAATGGGCCCGGAGTGTGATGAGGACCATCGCACCGTGGTGACAACTTGGGTGCTCGGAGTACTCACCCTGAGGACAGCCTCCACCTCCTGCCCAGCCCCTGGCTGCACCTCAATGAGCGTGTACTTCCCCGGCTGGGCAATGAAGTTCTCCCTTGTTGCCCAGCTGTTCTTGGTCTTCTCCCGAAATTTCTTCTCAAAGTCCTTCTTGGCAGCTTCCAGGGAGGCACAGGGCATGAGCTTGAACTGGCCTGCCTCCCCCTGGCAGTGGACAGCAGTAGTCAGCAGCTCCCCTGCATCCCTGCTCCACCAGCCCCATGCCAGTGGGAGCAGGCAGGAACAAGGGGGGCTGTGATAGCAGGGCTTGGAGCCACAGGCAGGAAATGTGCTGAGCCACCAGCTCAGGAAGACACACCCCAGGACTCCTTGCTGGGCTGTCACACACACATTCACTGCCAGGACAGGCGCCACATGCCCCAGACAGCCTGACTATGTTGTATGGCAATAGGTCCTTGAAGCCCTCCCATTAAAGTGCTATAACAGGACACTTGGGTGCTTGCTTTGGGACTAGGGACCACCAGGTTCACCCTCAGTTTTTGGGGTTCTGAAGGCAGGGTGGGAGCAGCAGAGGTACAGGGGATGAGTGATGCCTGGGTGTACTCACCACGCGGCCCCAGCGGGTCCAGATGCTGTAGGCACCATCATGCTCAAGGAGCTGGATGATGTAGAACTTGTTGTTGTTGGTGCTGATATTGGTCTGGTTCAGGGTGCAGTCATAGTCCTCATAGACCTACAGTGAGTGACATGGCCTGGGCTGGCACCTGGAAGTGTTTGGTGAAGGAGAGGGTGCCAAAATGTCCCAGTGGGAGCACACAGGGGTCTGCAAGGAAAATTTGGGCTGAGTCTGTGTCATAGGGCAGGGGCTGCTCTGAGACTCCTCCAAGCCTCCTACCCCTGCCCCTTTAAGCACCTCCATCCTGCTCTCACCCGAGCACCTGGTGCTGTGCTCAGGGGGCACAGTCCATCAATTGTGGCAGGCTGTTTCTCCTTGGTAGCAGTTTTCAAGGTTGCCAAGGTGGAGCTCCAGGTGTCATCCTCTTCTTCCCCTTTCAGTTTCTTTTCCCTGCTCTCTGGCTGCTTCAAGGAAGAAGCTGTGCGCTTGGAAGCCATGACTGAGCTCCCCCGATGCCACGGAGTCAGAGCAACCTTAATCCCCCAGAAAAATCCTTGGAGACAGCAGAGGGAGAGGTGAGAGTTGCCAAGCTGCCCCTCTGGGAAAGTCTGGTGGGCTGTGCCTTGCTTTCCCTATGCCTTCAGCCTAGAACAGGGCTGAAGGAGGGGATGGGACCTCTGCCACCAAACTATCTCAATCTTTTCCCTGTGTTCAGGGTGGGTGAACCTCTCAACAGCCTTCAGCCCTTGAGGGACCCCAAAGTGGAAAGAGCCCAGTGACACAAAGCCAAGGGAGAGCACAGGGGGACTCAGCTGCTTGCATAGCAAACTTGGATCAGAAGAGCTGGAAGAGGATCAGAGTCTGGCTGGAGAGGGTCTGCTGGCCCCCACCTCCCCTCACTAGGAACCCCCAATCCACAGGAGTGTGTCCCCAAGGCTCGCCCAGCTCTGGGCCCCCAGGGAAATGCAAGAGGGGAAACAATGCAGTGACACGCCTCAAACGTGAAATGCTATCCCCCCGAACATGAAATGCCATCCCCCCAGTCCCTCTCAAGACCAGTGAAATGCTCGGGTATGGGCAGGGGGGGCTTGGACAGCCGCTGTCTGCTATGCCCCCTGTCAGTCCCAGCGGAAGAGAGGGTGCTGGGGACAGCAATGGGAACAGAGGTACAGGCAGCAACCATGTCCTACCTGCTCCCGCTGCCCAGGGCTGCCTGCCGAGGGGCTGCCGAGAGACTTCAGGCTGGTCAGGCAGCTTGCCCAGAGGAGAAACTTTTTCCTTAGGCAACACCCACGGATGACAGCGAAAACAGCTGATATACCTCTGGGTAGCGCATGCACCCTGTGACAGGCCTGCCTGCTGTTTCCCTGCACTGCCTGCACTGATTGTACTGCCTGTCCATCTGTACTGCCTGTCTGCCTGTCTGCACAGCCTGCACTGATTGTACTGACTGTACTGCCTGCTTGTTCTGCCTGTCTGCCTGTCTGTCTGCACTGACTGTACTGACTATACTGCCTGCCTATCTGTACTGCCTGTTTGTCTGCACTGCCTCTCTGCCTGTCTGCACTGACTGTACTGCCTATCTGCCTGTCTCACTGCCTGCACTGACTATACTGCCTGTTTGTCTGCACTGACTCTAATGCCTGTCTGTACTGCCTGTCTGTCTGTACTGCCTGTCTGTCTGCACTACCTGCACTGACTGTAATGCCTGTCTGTCCGTACTGCCTGTCTGTCTGTACTGCCTGTCTGTCTGCACTACCTGCACTGACTGTACTGCCTGTCTGCGCTACCTGTCTGTCTGTCCTGCCTGACTGCTCTGTACTGCCTGCTCTGCCAAGGAGTCCCTGGATGAAGTGCGACCCTGATACCACCCTGCCCTTCAGCCAGCCCCATTCTGCCATGCCCTGAGATTAACAAAACTGTCTTGAAAAAAATTAAAGATGGCACCATTTTGTGTGCTACGTATCTTTTCTTGGGTCCCAAGCAAACACTCAGGGCTAAGGGTCAGGCAGTGAGGAGGACCTGACTGCATATGAATGTGATTTGAAGGGTTCTCAGCAACCTCTGCCTGCTCCTGCCAGCACCTGGTGTGCTCCGAGGGATGCGGGTCCAGGAGTTGTGCAGGAGCAGGGACTAGCGCCAGTGTCATGGGAAAAAGGCAGAGGTGCCCTTTGTACTGGGAACATGGAGAGGACAACGTTGCTGGAGCCAAAGTCTTGCTGGTTTTGCAGCTCCTGGGCTTGGCTGTATGACCCAAGCAGTGCAGGCGGTGCCATGTCCTCCATAGGCGGCATAAGAGATTCACTTTTAACTCAGGCAGGTGCTCCCCAAAGGGATGGTAGGCCATGACAACAATTTAGCTACTGACAGAGGGGAGAAGCTGGGGTTCTTCACTCTGGAGAAGACACCACAGGAAACTTAGACCCCCTTAGACCACTTGGTGCCTAAAGGGGCTCCAAGTCGGCTGGAGAAGGACTTTGGGTGGGGCATGTAGTGATACAAAGGATAACTGCTTTAAACTGACAGCAGTTTTAGCTTGGACATGAGGAAGAAATGCACTGTGGAGAGGCACTGGGACATGTTTTACGGAGCAGTTTCGGCTGCCCCATCCCTGGCAGTGTCCAGAGTCAAGCTGGACGGGGCTCTGAGCATTCCGGGCCCGTAAGTGGGGCAGGCCGGACCCCAGGTCCCTTAATGGCGGCAGCCCCCCCAAACTACACTTCCCGACGTGCCGCACGGCCCCGGCGCCTGCGCCCCGCTTGGAAGCTTCCAGTCCGGGCGCGAGGTGGTTGCTGGGTAGAAGACGGGCGGTCCCTTAGGCGCCATTTTGTGGCAAGGCAGCGAGAGGGGTTGTGCGGGTGTGCTTGGCGTGTGGTGCCGGATAGTGCTGTGCCGGGTGCCTGCGGATCCTGGGCGGCGGCATGGGCTCGGACAAGCGGTGAGCGGCGGCGACGGCGGCGGCGGAGGGAGGGCGAAGGGAGACGGGAGGAGGCGGGCGGTGGTGGGGGTCGCGGCGGACGCTTCACGCTCTGAGCTCGGCCCGCTGTGCCCCGCAGGGTGAGCAGGACGGAGCGGAGCGGCCGCTACGGCTCCATCGTGGAGAGGGAGGACCGCGACGAGCGGGAGTCCCGCAGCCGGCGGAGGGATGACTACAAGAGGTCCAGTGAGGAGCGCCGTGGTGACCGCTATGATGACTATCGCGACTACGATAGCCGAGACTACGACAGCCGAGACTACGACAGCCGCGATAGCCGAGACTGCCGCGACTACGACAGTCGGGACTACGACAGTCGAGACAGCCGGGTCTGCCGAGACTACGACAGTCGCGACAGCCGCGATTGCCGAGACTACGATAGCCGAGATTGCCGCGACTACGACAGCCGGGACAGCCGAGACTACGATTGCCGGGACTACGATAGTCGGGACTGCCGAGACTACGACAGTCGCGATAGCCGAGATTATGATAGAAACTACGACAGCCGCGATTACGATAGCCCCGAGGTGAGCGGGGTTGGGGGGCCGGGGCCGGCACTGCGGGGCGGAGGGCACCGGGAGCGGGTTTAACGCGGGAGCGCTGCCCGAGGCCATGGGGACCAGCCCCGGGCAGGCGGCCGATGTCCGTGTGGCAGTGTGGCGACACGCTGCAGGGAATCGCGGTGGCTAATCCTGGGCGCTGGCTTCCAGAGGGAGCGGGAGCGCAGGAACAGCGACAAATCAGAGGACGGCTACCATTCCGATGGCGACTACGGCGAGCACGACTACAGGAACGATATTAACGATGAAAAAGAAAGCAAGACCATCATGTTGCGTGGGCTCCCCATCACGGTTACGGAGAACGATGTGAGTAGCCGGGCAGAGCTGTCCCTTCCTTGCCCCCGGGCAGGGCCGTGCCGGAGCGGCTGCTGCCATTTTGTTGAGCGCTGCATCATGGTGGCCCCTCTCCAGCGCTGTCGCGCTGCCATTTTGAGTCCTGAAAGCATTTAAACTCCCAGTGTTAAGTAATAGAGGTCAGTTCAATGTTAGTCAGTCCCTTTCAAACGGAACAAGCCGTAAATACTCGTTTTTTCACGCGTGTTCGAATGCTTTCCTAAGAGTGGATTTTAAACTACGTGCTCTTTGCTGTTTTTCTGTATGGGAGGGAAGAGGCAGATATTCTTTTTTTGCAGCTTCGCCCCGCTGCAGGGAGGGGGGAGGTGGACAGAGACAAAGAGGTGGCACTCAGCAGTTTTTCTGGTCTTTCTCGAGGCCAGAACTTGTGACCGATGGGGTCACACACAGTCACCGAGCTCCTTAGCGGAGCACAGCACCGCACAAAGCTGCTTTGTGTGGGCACAGCTGTGGGAGTCAAAATGGCTGCTGCCGAGCTGACGGAGCAAGTACTGACGAGCCTGCTGCTTGCTTGTCTAGCTTGTTTAATAAAAAGATGTTAAAGCTTTAAGGTTTTCTTATTTATGGTAAGGTTTTTGTTTTTTTCTTGCTGGGTTATTTTGGTTACCAAGCTATGAGCCCACAAGTCTTATTTGAGGGGTAAAAACTGAGCTATCCCAGTTTGTTTTCAGTCAAGACTCCGCCTCTGCCTCCAATGTGCCGATATGCTTTAGTTGCTAGCGCAGAGAATACATTTGCACCGTTTCTATAATGGAGACTTTTTCCTTTGCTTTTTCATTGATTACTTATTACCCTCCTGATACTGAGGGTTCCGAATCACTATACATTGCTCTAATATTTTCATGAGGATTTGAAATCAAGCGTAGCTTCCTGTATACAAAGGAGGCAGCCCAATCAGACATTACAGAGCACTTCAGAACAGTTCTTCTTCCTGAGTTATTGATGTAGCTCTACAGTTGTGGAATAACTGTAGCATAATTTATATGAATGTTTAATTCTTGACTCAGAGTGTATACAGTGCATTTTGGAACACAAAGTAGAATTGTTAAGTTAACATTACTTCTGATTGTTTACACAATTTTCATTTTTTTCCTGCATTTTTCATAAGAAAAATTCACTTGCATATCTGATATTATTGCCAGTCAGCATATAAAAGGGCAGCTTTAGATAAAGTTTGATTCTGCTGAGCAGCCCTATTGCACGTAATGTCATTTGAATTCTGTGAAAGCTGCTGAAAAACCTTGTGTCTTTTACTCTAGAATTAAAAAATTCATTGGTGTTTGTTTTTCCTCCATGCCTCTGCACGGTGACTGAGGTTGCCTGTGCCGCAGCAGCTTTGTTATAGCTGAAGAACTGACATTTATTTAGCTTCTTCTTTGATGACATGGTCTTTACAAATCTACTTTATCCTGAAAAGCTGATGTGGATCAGTTAGAGGATAAGATCTTTAGCATGAAGTTGAGGAATATATTCATCATGGAGCCTTGCAGTGCTGGCTTCTTGTTTTTCCTTGCTAGGAATGAAGGGTATTTAGACATGCAGGGAGAAGGATACCAGCAGTGTTCCTCTTAAAAACTTGGGGTCGTGCACAGTCTTTGCCAAATACTGTCCAAGTAATCTCAGAACACATGATTGTAGGAATTCAGATTCTGGATGATCCAGTGTCCTCAGTGAGAATTACAGTTCTGGTTTAGCATGTAGCAAAAGATTATGTGGACTTTGATGTTCATCAGTCCCCTGTTGGGTTCTCAGTAAATGTTTTCCTTGTCTCTGAGATGGTGCTGAAAGCATTATTTTGTGTATCTCTTGCACGCTACTGCAAGGTAGCTTATTTCTGTGACTTCTCTCTGCCAAATTGTGAAAATTTTAACTGTTGGATCATAATCTCCTGCAGATTCGTGAGCTTATTGAGTCCTTTGAAGGTCCTCAGCCTGCAGACGTGAGGCTGATGAAGAGAAAGACAGGTGAGAGCTCTTAATCCAGTTTTTGACATCACCTTCCTCTTCCCCAGCCCAAAAGAGTATCCAGAATTGTCCCCAAACTGCAAGCACATACAATAAAAATAAAAAATAAAAGGTTTGCCATGGCTAAGGAATGTGGCTTTTTGGAAGACTTAGATAGCTGGTCAACATGTTAAAAGAAGTCTGTCTACAGGGGGTTTTGTTAACAGGTATTGGTAAGTAATAATAGTGTAAACCCATTTAATAGTATGTAGTCTGTTGCATGGTTACCCTTAAACGTGGATTCAAATCAAGTGAAATGTAGCCAGTTAAGGCAGCTTGGTTCCTTGCCATGGCAAAATAACAAGCAGATCCCAGCAGTTGACGTCGCATTTGTAAAGCTGCTT